TACTTTTCTTGGAAACAAACAGATTTAATAAAATTCAATGTACTTTCTTATGTTTTGCAGGAATCTTCATCCCTTAAAAACATACCAGTAGTGATTATGTCATCTGAAAATGTTCCTTCAAGGATCAATAGGTAAGAACAAATCCAATTCAAACCAGCCATCATATAAAAAGGTGATTGGATTTTATTTACTGGAAACAGTAGAAATGTTGGAAATTGATTGGTGGATATTGTTAAATCTTATCTGCAGATGTTTAGAAGAAGGAGCAGAAGAATTTTTTCTCAAACCAGTGAGACTATCAGATGTCAATAAGCTTAAACCCCATATGATGAAAGCCAAATTCAAAGATCATGAAAAGCCAGCAAAACAAGAAGAAGAAGCATCAGAAACACCAGAGGTACAGCAATCACAACCACCACAACCTCAAAGTAATAATAACAAGAGGAAGGCCATGGATGAAGGGCTTTCATCAGATAGAACAAGACCCAGATACAGTGGCCTCACTGTGGTCTCTAATTGATCATGACAAGTACTTTTTTCTGTTCCTTTTTGCCCAATCTGAAAAATGAAATTCACATAACCCTTGTAGAGAGAGAGAGAGAGAGAGAGAGAGAGAGATGCATACATGAAAATAATTAAATTCAATTTCTTTTTGCTGACTTCAATAGATAATTCAAAAAAAAGTTGACCTGTATTTACAATGTGATCGCCTGTTTACAATTCATCGTTGTTATCGCTTGAACTATTATTAGAGTTATCTCTTATAGCTATCAAGTACCTTGGTCAATGAATTAAATTTTGATTAGAATCCAAATGAGATCAATGGGATATATATTAATTTTTTTTGGATGATTAACCTCTATTTATAGGCTTACTTGCAAAATAGTGAGACTTTAGAAGGAGAGTCGCATATTAAGATTTTTTCTATTACATTTTCACCCAATTCCACCAACACAATAAATTTACCATTGAAATTGAGTAAAGATGATGGAGAGATTTTAATTTCCATTGGACCGCTAATGGAGCGTCGTCGAGCTTTTTTGTTAATTAAGATATCTAACAGAATTTGAAGGATCGAAGTTCTTGGAAAATCAATTTTTGAATCAATCGTTCGAAGGGCCTTTCTTTGAAGTTTTTTAATTCTTTGTTTGGTATAATGAAAAAATGAAAGGAAAAAAAAATAGAAAAATAGATTAAATATCATATATGATAAGGAATAAAAATAGAAATAATGGACTAGCCTTCTTTTTAATTCACCAACAACTAACCCTCTAAAATTAGGAGAAAAAGTAAATACAAAAATAATTATGTGAGATTAAATATATGTATTTTTTAATAAATGCATATTTCTGATTTATCTATTGTATATTATGTACACATTTTTATATTCTTTAATAAATAGGTAAATCTGTTTGATTCGTAAAGTAATTGGCCGACAAGAATCTAAATTACATAAGGCTTCTACGTGACAAAAACAGGATATGACATGAACACACCAAAATGATCCATTATTATGGCCCAATAAATTATTGGGCTTTGAATTCAGCCCATGGGCCACGGCTTTTTTGTCAAGGCTTAAAAAAAGGCTTTACTAGCACAGCAACATCAGAAATCAATGAAACTACTAAGACAGAAACCACTGTCCCATACAAACTGAACAACGAATGAACGAACAACAGTAAGCAAAAAGAGAGATCCCAATCAACCGTTAACACGGCTTAAAACGGCCAAAAAACAAGTGCCAAGCCAAGGCCTCATTGAATCACATTCTTATGTGCAACACCAATGCAATTTTAATGAATGATAATTGCATGACCCTTGAAAAGTAGTAATAGAGCAACAAAAGAATGGAATGGTGAGAGTTTCTACAGTTTTAGAGCCTCTGCTTTAACAGTGTTTAGTACATCTTCAATACGATTGTTGACCTCCTTGAACTTTTGATTAAGAGAGTTGTTTTTCCTCTTGTTGACGAGGAGTGTCGTTTATGACTATGCTCGTCTCTTGTGTTTCCTATTTGGCAACCCCGAGTTCCAGATGAATGAGAGAACTGTTGAGGGGGCTGGCCAGTAAGCATTTCCAATATTTGTTGGGTTTACTTGGCCAATCCTCAATGGTCTGATTCATTCCTTTCTAATTTTGTTCCAAGTTGAGCACCCTTTGAGATTCTTGCTGCTTGTTGGCTTTAGGAGAGTCTCGATTATGGTTATCTCATTCAAGTGTCTCTGGCTAGTCTGAAGGTGTCTTCATTAGTTTGATCCATCAAATGGTAGTCACCATTCAAAGTCATTTTTTCTTTATGGGTTGTGATATTGGAAGGAAATTTTCTATCAATTTCCACAGACGACGTCAAAATGTTAGTACAAAATTTACCACAACATCCATGTAGGTCAAAATGAACTTTATTTGCCTTTGTGTCAGCTTTCTGGATATTTGAATAAGCTCTCTTAGGCTCCAAGCAAGATTTTCAAAGTGTGGGTAAACTTGAAAAGAAGTCGGAAACTGGAAAGGGGGAGCTCTAGGAGTGGATCATCCGATTCTTAAATTAGTAACTGATGAAAAATAAAGGACAATGTTTAAAAACATAGTTGCATACCTTAAGCGTTTCTCCTAGGCTCCTTTTTATAGTTGTAAGTCGGTTTTTGTATGGAAGTGAGCTTTGGACTCTCTTATCTGCAGGGAAAATGTTAGTCTCTTTTGTTTGAGGAGTCTAGACTCTTAATCCCAGATTGTTAATGCAAACAGGCGAAACTTGTGCGCTTGAAGAGTCTTTTAAATTCTGCTTGTCCATTCTATTTTTATTTAAAGGTATTATCACATATCAAACGTAATGTTTATTTATTAAAAATAGAAGAAATTTTATTACATTTTTAGATCATAATCAATGATGAAACTAATAAAAAAAAGGAAATGGATTATTGGAAACTCAAGTGCCACAATAGGAATTTTAAGGACAAATTTATCATTAATATTTAGGGAAGAATTTTTTTATAATTTATTAAAAAAAAAAGCATGAAGAAAGATCAGAGCCAAAAATAAAATAGAAAATGAGGAGGAAGGTTGACCAAAAATTGAATGCAGCAATACGGTGGCCACTGAAAGGATCAGATGGTAAAGGTCGTCCCCAAAACTTGGGTCCCACTCTAGCTTCTCCTCCTAAAAGACCCCACACGCGTCACCTCACCAGGCTTCTCAGAGTTCGCCACTTTGCTGTAAATAAATACTCTGAAAATCACAATTCACAAGAAACAAAAAAGCACGCAATTAGCGTCTACCTCTTGGCCGCCACTTGTTCTCTCTCTCTCTCCCTCAAGTTGCAGAACCAAAGGTATCTGGAGACTCCTTGAATCGAAGTGAGGTAAGAATAAATAAACTTCTAAGTGCAATTTTTATGTGTTGACAATCTTGTTTTTCAATTTTTCAAAGGTTATCTTCCAATTGAAATATATGCGCAATTATGATGTGATCTTTGTTTTGGTATTGTCTTTTTGTTGCAAGAAAGATAATTTGTTTTTGGGGTTTGATTCTGAATTTATTGGTGATGATCATGGCTTTTGATTGATGTGATCTTTGTGACGGCCGTTTGATCCTCTTGTTATTGGTTGTGTTTATTGCGTTATATGATGCTGTGTTGGAGTATCATTTGACGTAGTGGTTCAGAAAAACCTAGCCTGATGTCAAGGGTTTGCAAGTGTGATCGCATATCACCTTTTCACGTTTTGAGCCTGTTAATGGTTGTGTTTGTTGCTAAGGAAAACACTTTCTTGATTTGTCTTCTGAATTAGTTTATTTTGTGGACTGTCTACGTGCTTTAATAAATATCCACTTGGTGAAGTTTTTTGTAGCTTCAGTTTCGAGTTGTTTGGGTAGCAAATTGTTTTTTTGAAGCTGTGATGATGATAAGATTTTTTGCTCTTCTTGTTTTAATGGGAAATAAGACTCCAGAAGATTGTTGAGGAAATTTCTTGACGCAATGGTTAGCAGCTTGGAATTGGAACTTTAGATAAACCAATTCTAATGTTCTTCAAATTTTGCTTTCCAATTATGGGACCCCCATTTCATGCTTCCAAATGCAAAATAAGCGGGTTTGCTTTAGTTTCATGAAGTGAAATTTTTATTGTCAATAGGATTTAAGATAAGTAAGACTAAAATTAAATATATGAAATATAATTTTAGTAAGTAGTAAAAATTGAAGATCAAGAGATATTGAAAAGTGAACATATTAAATATTTGAGGTCTCTTATTTATAGATTGTGAGATTGGTGATGATGTTACTCATTGAATTAATGCAGAATGTACTAAATGGAGTAATGCTGTATTGTGATAAACACATATCCTTTAAGTCAAAAAGGAAAGTTTTATAGAATGATTATAAGAACCGCTATACTTTATGATACTAAGTGTTGGACAATTAAGAAATAACACGTTGAAAAATTGAGTATGGTGAAAATGAGAATGTTAAAATGAATGTGTAGTAAAACTAGGAAAGATAGAATTGAAAACGATTATATCTATGTAAGTAGAGGTAACACCCTATAGGGGATAAATTAAGAGAGAATCGATTTAGGCAATTAAATATATTTATAGAGGATCTACTACGATACTAGTGAGAAAGAGTGATATGATATCTATTGACGGTAAGCATATAGATAGAGGATGATTAAAATTAATTTTAAGTGAAATACTAAAGAAAGATATGATCACTTATTGTTTAAAAGAAAACATGACCTTTGATAGAGCACAATTGTGAAAAAAGATTCATGTAGCTATACCAAAAATGCTAGGATAAGATTTTGTTGAGTTGAGGATTGTAATTTCAACACCATCACCAACTTGTTTTTCATTGAAAAAAGTTCTTTGAGGTGTTGTTTGGATTGTGGGATAAGGAGTTTAAAACATGTTGGATTGAACACAATTGGCTGAGGACCACTTAACCAATGTTTGGAAAACAAATATGGTATTGTGAAATATAGATACTCCATTTAGGTTGACATATCCATATTGGATACCGTGTTAAATATGATACTCGTTGGATACTTCATGATACGTATTGGATACGCATTCGACATATCTAAGAATAAATAAATATTTCTCTAATTTGTGGATGTCTATCGGATACTTATAACACGAATCCAATAATAATAAAAAAANCGTTGGATACTTCATGATACGTATTGGATACGCATTCGACATATCTAAGAATAAATACATATTTCTCTAATTTGTGGATTTCTATCGGATACTTATAACACGAATCCAATAATAATAAAAAATTATTTATTTATGGATGTGTCCATGATATGGGTATCTAAGACAAATGGAAATGTTGCTAGAGCAATATGTGTAAACTTAAAACTATAATCTTTTTTGTGTCCTCTCAAATTTGAACTTACTAAATTTTTTTTTTGAAAAATCCATATAGTTCATAAGATAGGTTGATGTTTTTGAAGTACCATCTACAATTATATATTAAAAAGACATAAGATTGGTTAATTGCATCATATCTCTCAACAGCAAGTACTCCTAATCAAATTATCTAGTTTTATTTAATTAGTCGCATTCACTTTGTGAGTATACTAGGATGAAACGATCTATACTTATTTTAAAAT